GGGCCCGTGGGGGGTTCCGGGGGGCTGCAGGCCGGGGGCCGAGCAGGGCTTTCCATTGCCCCGGGTGCTGCAGCGGCGCTTGTCGCGGCTTTGTCCTCTTTAAACACCGAAATTAGTCACACGCTGGAGGCCTGAGCTTGTTCCTCACGGGGTAGCACAGGCCATTTCGGCATCCTTCCTGAAAAACTTGGGTTTTAGCCGGAACTGCAAATTACTGTAAACCGGGGGATGGTGTGGAGTCGGTTCCTTTAAAACGAAGTTGAGAAATCTGATGGAGAAGAGGAAATACAGTCGCCTTTTAAAAAAACTTAACCCCGGTGTAGTGAGGGGAAAGTCACAGTAGTTTGAAGGTGCACTTTTTCTGGCCTTTTTTTTAACCTAGGTGTGATTTAGGTGAGTGACTGCCCGTACGCCCGAGTATCACGAGTAGCTTCTCTGCGGTGGTTTCTTTGAAAATGGTAATCTGGTCTGAAAACCCAATGGATCATGACAATTCCTGCTCCCCCTCCGCTTTACTCTGGAGCAGAGGCTTCTGTCAAGGCTGGAGCCCAAGTGGCTTCATATTCAGCTCGGGTTTTTCCGTGTAGATTTTGGCTTTTGCCCAGACTGATAGTGCTCACAAGCTGGATGTGAAAAAGCACTTCAGTTGCTTGTGATTTGCTGTAGAGCTGGTTGATCATGTTGGGAACGGGAGTTCTGAGTCTGTGACAAGCTGCTTTCAAGGGGAATCGAGGCTGATTGATGTCAAGGAAGTATTTTCTTGCGGGCAAAGCATGGAGTGTATGGCCTTTCCTGTTGACTGCGGAAGAAATGCTCACGGGATAGTCATGGGATGAAGTGCTTTGCTCAAGATAATGTTTTCTGTTTCTTGCAGACAGTGGGTGGCAAACCCTGGCAGTTTGGGCGGAGTCCTCTTTGTGGCTGGAAGTCTGTGTAATTATCCTTAGAATCGTGGAATTTTTAGGTTGGAAAAGACCTTTAAGACCTAAAAGACTTTAAGCTCAAGTCCAACTGTTAACCTACACTGCCAAGCCCACCACTAAACCGTGTCCCTGAGCACCTTGCTCGGGTGAAAGGTGCAGCCCAGCCTGTGCTTTTGATTAGGACTAATTCAGGGACATGTGTGGAAACTGAGAAACGGGACTTCCAGCCTTAGACCATCTTACGCACCCAGTGACCCTCCAACCTTCTCTAACGCACTTTGGGTTACTGCCATTCAAGAAATCACATTGCAACAGTTCCAACTGTTTGTTTAAGTGTAAATACCGCGTTGTTGATGGTTTAGACAGCAAACAGTAAGTGTGCCAGGCCTGGCCGTGCTGGAGTGTGTAACAGGATTCCCTGGTGCTGGTTGAATTTGTGAGCTTTCCTAGTACCACGAGTGCCTGTTACTTTGCTTTGGAGCATGACCAAGAAGGGTGCTGGTGTCTCTCCTCTTCTGCAAATGGCTCCACTTGCTCATTTTTCCCTCCCAGGGATAAGTGATTAACAGTCACTCTCTTGGTCACTGCTCCTTGTGACCCTGACGAAGCTTTGACTCAATAATGCTTTTTATCTGTGGGTCAAGTGACGCCGGGCTTTAAATGGGATACCAGTGTGGCTTTAGAGCAGCACAGGAGGAGTGTTCACTAGGTTTTCACAGCTCTTCTGCTGAGCTGATAATGAATTCTGGGCACACGGTACCTCAGAACTTGTACGTAGTGCTAATACTTGAGCTGCTGATGTTTAAAATATGAGCCTTATGATGAGGTGGCTAGCAGTGCCCTTCTATCAGGTGTTAATCCTGGAGTTAAGCCAGGATAACCCAAGAGCAGGAGGAGTTTGGCTAAACTGAAATTCAGCCTTTTATAGTATAATGCATTGACCTTTTCTTGGGAGACAGGAAGGGTATTCCAAGGTTTCCTCTTATGTCGAATGTCAACTCTGCATTGTGTTGGTGTTTCTGGTGGCATCCATATTATCCCTGGATGTAGACTTGTGGTGAATTTCTGCGACAGAGAAGAAAATGGCAATAACATATATCTTAGTGTTACCTCAGGTGCCTTGCAAGTCGCAGCAAAAAATGCTGGCCGCGCAATTCCATACCTAATCCTGCTTGTAGAGTTCCTAATAAACATAAAAGCGATACAGAGCTGGGCCCCAAATTTTCAAACCTGAGGCTGGTGATAGGGATGAAACTTGAAAAGCTTTATGTGGGCTATTTCTGATGTTCTGAGGAGGTTCCTGACCTGTGGCTTGCTTTCTTTCAGCTTATAAAACTGTATCGGGTGTGAATGGTCCCCTGGTCATCTTGGATCAAGTTAAGGTAAAGATGTAGATTATTAATGAATGAAGCTTTTTGAGGGAGAGTTTACAGGGAAAGCTGTGACAGGTTAAATCCAGGCTGTGGTGAAATTCATGGGTCCACTGAGCAATTTTAAGGCAAGAGCTGTTTCTGACTGCCGAGATAAATGAGAATACGCAGGTTGCTGTGGAGTTACCCATGTCCTGGAAGAAAGAGGAAACATTGTTCAGTTTCACCAAAATCCCCAAAACATTGTCTAAACTCAAATGTAGAACTGTACACACTCACTTCATTCTTGACCTTTTTGTTACCAAAGCCCAAGTACTCTCCAGAAGGGAACTAGAAGCGCCTTTGACTTGGTTCCAGATGACTGGCAAGTTGCCGGGAAGGCAAGTGACTGGTGCTGTCTACAGGCAAAAGCCAGCTGTTCTCGTCAGGCCTGGCACTGTGTGTCAGGGCTGCTGGGGTTTTTAGAACAGGTCCTGACAGCTCTTTCTGCGGCCTCCACCTCTGAGCGAATGTTGTATGGTCCCTGCAAAAAGGGCTTTGGCCTGGTGGGTTTTAGTTGCCTTACGACGAGTTTTGTTCTGATTACAAAATTAGTTTTCAAGAAATGTAGTAGCTGCTAAGCTTAAGCTTGCTTGAAACTGATAATTTTAATGTTGTGACTGTTCTTTAATGTTTTCCACCGTCTTTCTTGCACGTTTTCAGTTTCCCAGGTACGCGGAGATTGTCCACTTAACTCTCCCTGATGGCACGAGAAGAAGTGGGCAGGTGCTGGAAGTCAGTGGCTCCAAAGCCGTAGTTCAGGTACGACTGGGGACCGGAGTGTCTCCTGTTGCAACAGGAAAGTAGTTTGTTAACTGGCATATGTCTGATCTGTCTTGTGATACGGTCTTCTGGTGCTGTAAGTTTAAAAAAATCACCTGCTGCTTCATGCCACTTGAGAAGATTGCCAACTGGAGTACAGTGGCATTGTATTTGCATCCTCCCTAGATCCCTTTGCCGCTCCATTAGCGGGATCGTACTGTAACTGTATGGTATTTGATTCCAGATAATGCCTCTGCTGTGTGGATGCAGGTATTTCTTCTAAGCAGCTGTTTCCTGTTGATACTAATTCTTATCTCAAGAACTTTACCCTGTTGGCAAAGGGAAAGACTTGAGATCAAAGGAATGGCACCGGGTTCATTGGTTGCTGCTGGTGCGCTTCATGAATTTTATTTAAAGTAGGTTTTCTGTGATGTTTTGTACTGGGGAGCTGCTCTTGAACTCCCTTGCTTGCCAAGCGCTGCCTTGCTTTTCTGCCCTCTGGCTGATGTTCTCAAGCTGTGAAGCAACCTTCTAGTGTGTTATTTTGTAAAGCACAATGCTTACTTTCTCCTGTGGCTCTTTTTCTGGTATGTTTACAGGTATTTGAAGGAACTTCAGGTATTGATGCTAAGAAAACATCTTGCGAGTTCACTGGGGATATTCTTCGAACGCCTGTCTCCGAGGATATGCTCGGTCAGTGCTTGCATCTTGCATTGAAGAATGACCTACGCACTGACTGATTGTCACAGTAACTCACACTTTGATTTTTATCGCTGTTTCTTGTAGGCAGAGTATTCAACGGGTCAGGGAAACCCATAGACAGAGGCCCCATTGTTCTGGCTGAAGATTTCCTTGACATAATGGGTATGTTCTTAATCCATTTCTGGTGCGGAGTTAAAGGCAACTCTGGTGTTTCTGGTTTCTGAATGTTACCTTAGTTCTGGCTTTGAACATAGGGTGTAACTGTTGTGGAGGGGGTCTAATCTTATTTTTAAGTATGTATGTGGCATCAAACTCAAGTCATTAATTTACACATGTGCAGGGCAATGAGGTAGCAGAAAATAACTGTTTTCAGTAATGCTGGGAAGCTGTTCTTTGAAGTACTTGTAGACCATCTTATTTATACAGGCTCCAAAGATAAAAAGCTGATAACCTGACAGGCTTTTCTGGAAAGCACAGTAACCGTTCACATGACCGTAGAACGGCAGGGCCTTGGGGTGTACAGAAGGCTCAGTTTGACCTGGGGCATCTAAAGGTTTGTAGGTCTGGCGGTGGGGTTTGCACCTTGTAGCATGAGCCTTAGATCGGTGCTCCAGGTCAGTGGTAGCTTGATCATGCTTCAGACATGTACATGGAGTAACACGTTCTCTGAAATCTCACAGGTCAGCCAATCAATCCCCAGTGCCGTATCTATCCAGAGGAAATGATCCAAACTGGCATTTCTGCTATAGATGGTATGAACAGTATTGCCAGGGGGCAGAAAATCCCCATATTCTCAGCTGCTGGCTTGCCCCACAATGAGGTGAGTACTCAAAGCTACTCTAGGCAGTCAGTGGCAAACAGAGCATCAGATACACAGATGGACTGAAACGTTCTTCTCCCTAGATTGCAGCTCAGATATGTCGCCAAGCTGGCTTGGTGAAGAAATCCAAAGATGTGATGGACTACAGTGAAGAAAACTTTGCCATTGTGTTTGCTGCTATGGGTGTAAGTCAATATTATTGGAGGAAAAGGATGCTTAAGTGATAAATAAGGCAATGCTGAGAGTAGCTGAAGGTTACTTTTTTGTTCTGAGTAGGTCTCTTATATAACTAAAGAGTGTTAAATTGGGTGGCTGAATAGCTGAAAATGCCAAGTGGCCAGAAGTACTGTAACAAGGTGTGTCTGATCAGGGACAAGTACCTGAAACTTTAAAATTTCTAACCTGGGATTCTATAAATAACTCATTCTGGGAATGTAGGGGAGTCTTCATGATACAGAGAGCTTTGCTCGTGGATTATTAATGGGGTGTTTAGACCTTAATATTCTGTCAAGTGCAAAATCTGGCACTGATGCCTTGGTGTTGTGATTTAGGTGAACATGGAAACTGCTCGGTTCTTCAAATCAGACTTTGAGGAAAATGGGTCCATGGACAATGTGTGTCTGTTCCTGAATTTGGCCAATGATCCAACGTAAGTAGTTCCACTGTGGTGGTTGGGAAAAGACTGAGAAGTGAGTTGGAAGCTGCAGCCTCGCTGTCAGGCGTGACGTACCTTGGTGTTTACGAAACGCCCATATTGCAGTTGGTGCACACACCTGACTTTCAGAGGATTTAAATACGTAAACCTGGACTGTTACCCTGCAGCTTTCAAGCACTTAAATGAGCCGTGTTGTTCCGTTTCAGCATCGAACGCATTATCACGCCTCGTCTGGCTCTGACAACAGCCGAGTTCTTGGCGTATCAGTGCGAGAAGCATGTGTTGGTCATTCTGACGGATATGAGCTCCTACGCTGAAGCTCTGCGAGAGGTAGGCCTTTCCTAGCTCGCTGTTGGCAGAAGGGGTTTGTACTATAAAGTGAGACCGTGAGCTCCTGCTCAAGCTGCTACAATTAGTATTCATTAGTGTTCTTAAATAGCCAGTGAGGCTTTCAGTTATTCATTGATTGCCTCGGATTGTGTTCAGCAGTCAAAAAGCTGTTGCTTCTGGTACAGCTATACCCATTTGACTGTATTTCAGCAGTTTGCTGTCAGAGTTTCTGATTTCCCTTGGCATCTTGTCTCATCTCACACTGTTGCGGTGACGTGCCTCTCAATGGAGGTTTGCGTGGCTGTATTTTGGTATCGCCTGCAGGGAGAAGTACTTCAAGTCACTAGTGCAGCTTAGGGGAGACAGCGGGTCGGTGCAAGTGATCTGACTTCTTGGAAACGTTTTTCTGGCTTGCCTCAGGTATCGGCAGCTAGAGAGGAAGTGCCTGGCCGTCGTGGTTTCCCCGGCTACATGTACACGGACTTGGCTACTATATATGAGCGCGCTGGGCGTGTGGAAGGCAGGAACGGCTCCATTACCCAGATTCCTATTCTTACCATGCCCAATGATGGTGAGTTACTTTCGAGTGTGTGTAATAAATAGCACTTTAAAGGGCTCCTGTAGAGCACGCTGCCTTATTTTGGACACACAGGGAGACAGGAGGTCCTGTGGCCTTCAGGCTTCCGTTTGAATATTGCAGTCCTTAGCTGCCTTCTGTGTGTTGCTAACAGGAATGCTTTGCCCATTCCATACTTCAGGACTATTCTCCGGCCTTCTAACAGAAATGCTTATCACTAATCCTTGCATAAGAGCACTTAGTGGGTACTGGCTATGGGGGGTACTAACTGATGGTGTTTTACTTCAGAAGTCAGTCATTCAACTGCAAAAAGCTGCTGTATCAGTGCTAAAATGGATATAAACCATCAAACCACTGTGTTTTTTCCACAGATATTACTCATCCTATCCCTGACTTGACTGGATACATCACTGAGGGACAAATCTATGTGGACAGGCAGCTGCATAACAGGCAGGTGTGTACCATACAGGCTAGAACATACTTCAAAAAGTACAGAGCAACTTTAAGTATTAATGTTGAAATCTTGGATGTGCTTTTCCTCCAGATTTACCCACCTATCAATGTCTTGCCCTCCTTGTCTCGACTGATGAAGTCAGCTATTGGAGAGGGTATGACCAGGAAGGATCATGCTGATGTATCCAACCAACTGGTATGTAAAAACCTTTTCAGAGAAGCAGAGTTGTATTTCAGATGTACCTCTCACTAAACAGCCTGCAAAGAACTGAATGCAGAATGCTCCTGAGGCTGCTTTACACAGATTTACAGTGGTCGGGGTTGGAAGGGACCACTAGAGACCATCTAGTCCAACCCCCTGCCAGAGCAGGATCCCCTAGAGCAGATCACACGGGAACAAGTCCAGGGGCTTTAGAGGAGCTCTTTCCTTCAGCCCACCTCACCGCCCAGTGGTCCAGGGCTTTAAAGCATTGGCTGAGTGTTTAGTGAGACCCTTTGGGTTTGGGTGGAAATAGCTTCGTGGGTGACCAAGGTGACAGCATTTCTGTTTCCGTCCCTTCTAGTACGCCTGCTATGCTATCGGGAAGGATGTGCAGGCTATGAAGGCTGTGGTTGGCGAGGAAGCTCTTACCTCAGATGATCTTCTTTACCTGGAGTTTCTGCAGAAGTTTGAGAAGAACTTCATTGCTCAGGGTAAGTGAACTGACTTCCTGGAGCGTCGCAGTGCGTGTAGTCTCCTAGGAGACCTCGGTGGTGAGATGCTTTCCTGCCCCGTATTTCAGTCTGCGGCTGCTTTCTGCAGGTCCTTACGAAAATCGCACTGTTTACGAGACCTTGGACATCGGGTGGCAGCTCTTGCGAATCTTCCCTAAGGAGATGTTGAAGAGAATCCCTCAGACAACACTGGCTGAATTCTATCCTCGAGATTCAACTGCAAAACACTAGCCCCAGCTCCATCCCTAACTCCTCGCTCTGTGAAATGCTGTTTGTTTTCTTTTTCATGTGTTGGTGTTGACTTGTCGCCCGTACCATTAAAACCGAGAATAGGTGACACTTGTGCCAGTGTTTCGACGTACACTGATACCAGTTTTTAAAATATCCCTTCTTCCAAAGCCTGGATCTTCAGGAATGTATTTAGACCAGCTCTTAACACATGTGCAATAGCTATCGGGAAGCTTTTGGAACTGGACCTTTTGTAGGCATTTCAGGGGGATGTGAGGATTACCAGAAATTGCAAGTCTTTACTTTCAGCCCGAGAGCGCGTGGTTTAGAAAACGTGAAAAGAGCAAATGTGACTCCTTTTGTCCAGAGCATCTGCTCAGTCTGACGATAGACCAGATGGCGCTGCTGCCGTGCCTGGAGACCGGGCTGACGCGTGGGAAGCGTGGTGCAGGACACCTTTCTGAAAGAGCAGAGTCGCTGATTTTTCAGCTGTGGCTTAAACTTCAAGGTGTGCGTGACCTGAGGATGCTGCAGGCATCCCGGGGGCTTTTGTCTCACAGGTCACAGGCCAGTGGGTTGCTACCTGAGGGTAGCATGGTAAAGCTTAATTACTGAATTAAAGGGTTTAAATTGAAGCTTGTGGAGTAACTTTTTCCCCACTTACCCTTTTCCTTTGAATTCTGGAAAGGCCAGAGACCCAAGCCAGCAGCTGAAGCATTCTGAGGTCAGTAGTGCCCCAGTGGGCCACACTGGGAAATCCCAAGGGTTTGTGCTGCTCCTGAAGGGGATTGAGAGATGGGAAGGTCTCTTGCACCTGACACAGCGGTACTGTGGGAGATCAGCTTTCAAAGTACGTCTTGTGCTGAACGCTGCGACAGGAGAAAGCAGCGGGATGCATGAATGGATATTTTGAATTCTGTTATAACGCATGCTCTGGGCGGCACCGGGACCGGGGTCGGGTTTGGAACCGCTGTGGTGTGCGCTGCGGGCAGAGGTTTGGCCAGCCAGCCCGATGTTCCCAAACACCGCAAACCTGGCTCGTCATTTCCGTGTTGGCTTTCCTGTTCCCAGGTGGTTCCGATGAGGACCCGAGCCCAGTGCTGGCAGGCTTACTTGCTTTTTTCCAGGCTTACTGTCGTCTAAGCTCTGGTCTAGCTAACCAAAGCATGTTGCACCTCTCTGAACGCCCTCAGTGCTTGTCTGGGAAGGTGCTAAGGTGACTCGAAGGACGGCGTGCTAATTCCAGCGCTCCCTGACGTCCCCTCTGTGCAGTCCTTGCGGTAGTTTGTTGTGTTCTCTGTACCTTCGACGCAGTGGCAACTTTACTCCAGTGCATTCCACCCTAAAGCTGTGTCATGTCTATTTTTCTTGAGGTAGGGATGGGAGGTTGGAAGTGTTGGCATGAGAATACTTTAATGTAGAGAATATCTAAATAAATTAAATATGGAAGATGTTGAACAAAATGGAAGCTTTTGTCGTTCTGTTGTTACAACCAGCTTCGGGGCTGGTGGCAGGGGCTGAGGTGCCCTTTGCCACTGGGAATCCTCTGTGTGGACAGAACTGCTCCATAATGTGCTGTATCCTGGGCTGGATCCAGAGCAGCGTGGCCAGAGGGGTGGGGGAGGGGATTCTCCCCCTCTGCTCAGCTCTGGGGAGACCCCCAGGAAGTTCTATGTCCAGCTCTGGGGTCCCCAACAGCAGGAGGACACTGAGCTGTTGGAGTGAGTCCAGAGGAGGCCACGGAGATGCTCCGAGAGCTGGAGCCCCTCTGCCATGGGGCCAGGCTGGGAGAGTTGGGGGGTTCAGCCTGGAGAAGGGAAGGGTCTAGGGAGACGTTAGAGCCCCTTCCAGTGCCTGGGGGGGGCTACAAGGAAGCTGGGGGGGACTTTT